AAAGATGCGTTGATCCTAGGCCAGGCTAGCCGTAGAGGTAATAGGAGGTCATTCCTGCCCTCACATGTATGGCTGATCAGATATAGGCTGAGAAGAGTCCAGAGGACATAAATGCTTGTGCGCCCATCCAGTTCTAAAATGCCACAATTCTAGAGTTCTAATTAGGCATGACCTGTCCTGCTTCTTTCATCCCCAGCCCCCAGTCCTCACCTGCCATGTGTGAGGTTATTCAGAGGAGGCCAAAACCACTTCTTCCAACTTAAGACTCCAGTCATGTTGATCAACTGTGAGGTCGGCTGTTATCAGTTAAAATGCTTCTAGCTGCAGACAGACAGTCCAGTGAAAAAGAGCTTAATTAAAGTAGGGATATATTGGCTCACGTAACATAAAAGTGCAGGTGTAGGCAGGCTTCAGATGAAGCTAGATTCAAGATTCAATGGTGCCAATAAGGCTGTTTCTTTCCATCTCTTGGCTCAGTCCAGTATCCTGCTGGCTCCTTTCTCTGGCTTCCTGTGGGGACCTCAGCAGCTCTGGGTTCTCCCTTCCCAAGGCAAGACGGTTGTCATGGTGCCATGTTTGCCTCCTCCCAGAGGGAAGAGTGATGATCTTCCTCAGTCCTGCCCACACAAGTCCTATGGTTCATCTGACTGGATGGGCTTCCTCCACTGGCTTACTTTCTCTGAGTCTGCAGAATAAGGAGTTAAGATGTGCTGTCAGGCTTAAATCTGGGTCATGTGCAATCCTGTACAGACTCCATGTAATGAGAGTAGTGGAGGGTAAATCTCTGAATAAAGATTTGAGACCCTGGCTCAAAAAAAGGGGGAAAGAATGTTGGGAGAATTAACACATCAGATGACAAGTTCCCCAATTGCTCAAAAAGCTGGAGTCATGGGTGCAGCTCCATAAAATTAACTAAACTATGTAGGAAGTATTCCACATGGGTGCCAAAAGTCACCCTAACTAGTACAGGTCTGAAGAAGACTCTAGTCAACTAGAAGCTCAGTATGAACCAATAAATTGACTTGCCAATCAGCAAAAATAACAACATGCAATGTACTCTGATTTTCAACTATTAGAACTATCTCTCATTGGAATGGGTGGCCTTAGGAGATAGTTTCTAACTTATCACTGGATGTCCTAAAGCAAAAGCCATCTGGTCACTTACAGGGATGCCACTGAGGGAACTTGGGTCTCATAGACTCATTCATTCATTCAACACATATTTCCTGAATGCTGATGGTGTGATCTCAGATCTCTTGAAGCAGAGGCTGAGACAAACATGGACAGGCTTTTTTTAGGGGGAGGAAGCAGGATTGTGCAGATTTAATAATGGCCCAGCAAAGTCTTGGTCATAGGGAGAATGGGTCTTTGGAGAAAATATGGCCCATCCGAGTTCCTGCATTGGGCTAAAATAGCTAGGCCTTTGTATCTGCAATTTGATTAGTCATTGGATGTGGGCCACTTGGGGGAAGGAAGCCTGTGTTCCTGGAGGAGAAGCCTGTGTCCCTAGAGGAGCTGACAGCTGGAGATGTGTCCTTCTGTGCCCACCACAGACTTCTGTGTGCCAAGCGCTGTTCCAGACATTGAGAATACAGCAGTCAACAGAATAGCAGCAATGTTCAAGCAAGAGTGCGCATTTTAGTGGCAGGTGAGAGGCGAGCTTTTATTTTATTTTTAAAATTTTTAAAAAGTTTTCTTTAATCGCTATACCTAATGTGGGGCTTGAACTCACCACCTCAAGATCAAGAGTTGCATGCTCTTCTGACTGAGCCAGCCAGGCACCCCGAGAACTTTTAAAAAATAGCTAAATGAATGTATAGCAATTAGTGACAAATGCCATGATGATGCATCATGGGAGGGAGAAGGTAGTCAAGATGGAAGAAGAAACGGCGGGTAGCAGTGTGGTGGTTGTACTATTTTCATCAGGAGGGTCAGGGGAACTTCTCTAAGTGATGCTTGAGCAGAAATGTAGGGAGGTTGGAGGAAAAAATCCTGCCTACATTGGGGCCTGAAGGGGCTCCAGGCAGTGAGCGAGTGGAAAGGCTTTGAGGAAGAGCAAGGACACCATTGCAGTTGGAGGGAGTGAGTAAGGAGAGAAGAGGAGGACAGGAGCTTCAAAGAATAGCAGGGGACCAGACCATGCAGGGCCACGAGGCCATGCTTATACTTGGGGGCCACGGTAAAGACTCACAATGGGAAGATACAACGGAGGTGGCTTGTTAGAAACACTCCCTCCACTTAGCTCCCCACTTTATAGAGGAGAAAACCAAATTCTATGGAAGCGGTAGGATTTGCTCAAAGTTGCATAGCTAGCTAGAAACTCTAGAGAAAGTCAGAATGGAGATGAAGAATACATGATATATCCATTAGGATGCGTTGGGCTGCATGTCAGAGAAACTCTGGATTCGAAGAGGCTTCAATAAGAGGGAATTTAATTATTTCACATTACTGGAAGACCAGAGTTGTGAGAACCCCGGGCATAGATCCAAGAGTGGCTCAATAATGTTCCTTCCATCCTTCCATCCTTCCATCCGTCCTCTTCAGTGTGTAAATCAGGATGGGCTAGGATATGCTGCAGTAACAGACCCAATTCCAGTGGCTTTAAGGGGAAAAAAGTGTATTTTTACTCCACGTCCATGGCCGGGCACCATTTTTATTAACTAGGGGTCCGTCCCTACTGTCATCATTTATAGGCTGACAAAGCCACTCCCACATAGCACATTGCTAATCACATGCCAGTAGAAAATGGGAACTCTACAGTGTCTTGAAGTGGTGATTAAATGCTCTGGTTCAGAAATAACATACATCATTTCTGCCTACGATTTGTCGACCCTCCTACTCACAAATGGGCCAGGAATTGCCATTCTACTACATGCCTAGAAGGCGAAGAGAGGCAATAAGCAGCACTAATGACGATCGAAGTCAATACCAGCTTTGACTAAGGACGGGTCCCCCCCAACCCCGGACACCTCCCTGTGAGGTCAGAACATTCACAGAAACAACACTTAAAAAAGTAGAGGCATGACCACTAATCTTCAGAGCAAGGAAAATTTCCCCAGATTCTCCCAACACTTCCCTCACTTTGTATTGGCCAGAAATGGATCATGTGCTCATTCTTAACCAATCACTGGACCCAGGGTAATGGGATTCTGACGGTCGCCTTAGCCCAATTAGGATTTACCCTGGAAGAGCCAGAGAGATTGGGTCATGTTCTCTCGAGCCTATGATGGACTCTGAAAAACAAACTGAGGGTTCTAGAGCGGAGGGGGGTGGGAGGATGGGTTAGCCTGGTGATGGGTATTAAAGAGGGCATGTTCTGCATGGAGCACTGGGTGTTATGCACAAACAATGAATCATGGAACACTACATCAAAAACTAATGATGTAATGTATGGTGATTAACATAACAATAAAAAAATAAAAAAAAAAGATAACTCTTCTCTAAGCACTTTGCAGTAAGTTCAATCCACAAAGGAAGGACAGTTTCATCCTGTCAACAATTCAGGTATTGAAACCAGAAGGAGAAAGGAGAAAAATAGATGTTGGTAGACAAATGGGTATTGGTTGGTTGCCAACCAACCTGGTCAATGACAAAGGGCAAACCAGGAGGGCTAGAAGTGTCAATAAGAAATAGAATGTGGGGACGCCTGGCTGGCTCAGTCAGATGAGCATGCGATTCTTGATCTCCCTGTGGTGAGTTCAAGCCCCACGTTGGGTGCAGAGATTACTAAAAAATAAATAAATAAAACTTAAAAAAATAAATATATAATGCACTGCAGTAAGGGTTGGAATGAATAACCTTGAAGATCCTGTCCAACTCTGAGATACCATTATTTTCTGTGGGTTTGCTGATGTTACCCTCTGTGAGTACAAGGGTTCAGAACACATTTGTCGGGGGGACCGTCTGAGAATCCAAAGCAATTTCTCTTACCCAGTACCACTGATCAAGTCTTGTGAGAGTCCCACATGAGGGAGACATATTTCTACCCCTTGCTAGGAAGCTCTCAGATACGGAATCGGCAATTCTGGAGTAAGGAAGGGGAGGTGAAAGTTCAGAGGAGAGACGGCAGGAAATGACTTAGAAATGCACAGAGTTGCGTGCCTGGGTGGCTCAGTGGGTTGATTTCAGCTCGGGTCATGATCTCAGGGTCGAGCTTGAGATTCTCTCTCTCCCTCTCTCACTGCCCCTCCCCCTGTTCACATGCATGCGCTCTCCCTCTCCCTCTCTAAAATAAATAAATAAAATCTTTACAAAAAATTGCACATAGTATAAAGCTCAAGAATATGTTTTTATGATTTCCAGAAGTATACGCCTTATGTTAGGATTCCCAAACGGATATGCTTTTCTTGTCTGTGCTCCTGAGCCTGAAGCCCTTGTGCTGAATAGTTCCACTCCGGGCTCTTAAAGGCATTTCAGCATGCCCATTGCTAATGCCGTCTTGAACCAGCTCTTTTGACCATGCTAATCATTCTCCACTATGGGCACCGACTACCAATACTCCGGGCCTTCGTCAACTTTTACCTGGATCATCAGAACAGCTTCCAAATTGCTCTTCTCCCATGCCGTGTTGCTTACTCCAGTTGACTTAGAGAGCCAGAGAATGTGTAAATCTGACAGAGGCTTCCCCTTGAGTAAAACCCACCAATAGCTCTCCGTCAACCGCAGAATTGATTCAAGTTCTTTGGCAGGAGATACAATGCCCTTCTGCCAGCTTTATTTGGAAGACTCCCTCGGAGTCTCTGCTCAACTGCTGCACCTCTTGCTCACCCCCCCCCCACCACTTTGCAACTTTCCGGTTTTGCTAATGATGTTCCCTCTGATGCCAGCGTCCTTCCCCTCTGTTTGCTGTATTAATTCTTAATTATTCATTCAAGAATCTGCTCATTAACTCATGGAGAAAGCTGCCTTTGACCCCGACCTTGCCCCTCCAGGGCTGGGCAAGGAGCCCGACATCTGTGCCCTCAGAGCATTCTGTGCCCACCTTTATATGGGACGTGACCATGGACAGGGTAAACATTTGTTTAGCTGTCTCCGGAGTGCTCTGCAAGCTTCCCTCCATGAGGAAGGGGACTGGCTTACTCATCTTTTATCCCAGCACTTACCAGTGCCTGGTGGACAGTAGGCGCTTCACAGGTGTCTACTGAACAGAAGCATTAAGAAGAGGGTGGCAGGTGAGATGCAGTGGAGAGAATGCAAGGAAGTGCAGAGGAAGAGGGAGGGAAGGCATCCCAGGATCTGCCTCTGGTGTCTTGGAATCTGGGCTCCAGCTCCAGCTTATCCATGATGGAATTCCAAGCAAAGGCTCTCTGCCTTTCTGGCATGGGGGATCCTCGGTTTGGATCAGGCACAAGTGGGACTTAATGGACAACCTTCCCACAGTCTCTCCTGCCCACACTCTGACAATTGCCCCTGCCTTCAACCTGAACACACGGCCACTGGCACAAAAGGCCAGGACACGCGGGCAGAATTTTGGCAGTGGCCCCTGCTTCTTGCTCTCATTTCGCCCATCTCCTCCATGGACGCATGCCAAAGATGATGATTAGAACTCCCTCTTGGGGTGGCCTCAAGGCTTAGAGTTAGACCCGGGAGGACTCCATTCCACAGATCCGATGAGCAAGCACACAGGAACACCTCCCTCTCTGCACCCCCCACCCCCACCCCTTCACCTACAGCAGAGGCATTTCAAAGCTGAGTCTTAGAGGCTCGGGCAGCTTTTCTAACTCTGCCCCAATGCTCTGGAAAAAGCCCCGGGAGGAGGCAATAAAAGGTGCCACCCAGCGCTGGGGTTGCCTTGCGCCTGTGTCCGTGTTGTCGGCGGGGTGGAGAGGAGAGTGCTCGAGGGGGACAGAGTGCAGGCCCAGCTCACTGGCAGCCCTATAACCTCAGACAAGCCGCTTGACCCCTGGTCTCAGTTTAGGAACCTGTAGCAATGGGTTTGGCCTCCTCCCTCCGCTGCGAGCGTCGCCACTAGGGAGAGGCAAAGAATTGCAGATCCCCCAAGTCCCCGCTCAGGCGGCACACCGTCCGGGGCTTGCGTAAGGTGGGACCCTCGCCGAGGGCCGGACGGAGCAGAGGCAGCGGAGGTCTGGCCCAGCCGCGGGCCGGCTCCAGAGGGGTCACTCCCGCCCCGCTCCCGGCCCCCTCTCCGCCGCCGGGTTCGCCGTTTCCAAGAAGCGGAGTCTTGGGCTCTGGTGACGCGGAGCTTCAAGTGCCGCCGCGAGGGGGGAGCAGCGAAGAGGAGCCCCCCTCCCCCGGGCGCCCGGGCGTGTAAACGTGGGCGGCGGTGAGCGGCTGCCCTCCCCTCCCCTCCCCTCCCCTCGCCTCCTCTCCTCCCCGCGCAGCGCTCCCGCGTGTGCGGGTGTGTGAGTGCGTGTGTCTCCCTCGCTCCCTCCCGCACGCGCTCCGGCACTAGTGCAGGCGGCCGGCCGGCGGCTCCCGGCTCGCTCGCTCCGGCCGCTGCGC